CCGACATAAAAAGTTTATGATTTTATTACAAAATTGCCACCGCGCTACATACTATGACGGGTGGACTACGTCCGTGATAAAAACTCGTCATAGAATGCTATTTTTCCACTAGTGAATGGACGATACTGATTAAGTTAATAAAAATTGAGATGGAAACGATAAAAATTGAGATAAGATGGTAAAGATTGAAGATATGAAAATTGAGATGATAAAATTCAAAATTGAGATAATAAAATTTGAGATTGAAATGTTAGATAAATTCGAGTTTGATGGTAAAACATTGAGATTGATAAGGTAAAAAATTGATATAGAAATGGTAAATCATGTGAAAATGTGAGAAGAGAAGTCGCACATCAGAGAAATTATATGTTGGTGTTTATTTTTTTTTATTATAAAAGGAAGACGATGTCTATCTTGTAAATCACAAAAAATCTCTTCTTTCTCCTATTTACTAGTATATTGCATAGTAGTCGAGTTCTCTTATTTCTTAGAGATGATATTATTATTGTTTTCTCCTAAGGTTTAAAGAGAGTATTGTAATTTCATCTAATAGTAAAATTTTATTATTGTCTATTGTCGGTTTTGTTTTTCTTTTCTCGTATTTTATTTTAGTTGTGAGTTCTTATACAGTTACTCTGATTCTTCACAGTGGTGTCAAAGTATGGTTGGTTTCTTGTTTGTAATATTATTCTGCTGCTATAGTCATTAGAATAGTATTGGAGAAAATTCTTAGTATGCTATGTGGTTACGATTAATTTGATCTTTCACATCAGAAAATAGTTATTCTAGTTATTGGATATAAAGTGTGGTAGTATGATAGTTTATGTCTAGAAGAAGTTCTAACAAGGAAATACTTGGTATTTAACCGTGTCCATTAGTGGCCCACCTCTCTTTCTTAGGAGCTTACATGGTGTACTAGTTACAGTATACATCGTTGTTTCAGTAGGCAATAATATTCATAGTGAAATGTGCATAAGTCGGTTAAAACCATGATAAAAAAATATGAGATAGAGAAGTTCAATGTGAATAATTTCTCATTGTGAAAATTAATGATGAAGGCAATTTTGAGAAAAGAATTGTGTATAAGCAATTGGAGAAAGACCCATGGACATCATAGATCGAAGGTGGGAAGAAATAAACACATATTGGACTTGGTTTATTATGATGTGTTGGAATTGCCGGTATTATCCCTAGGAGAGACTATATATTCTGTATCAGTAATGATGATTACTCTAACAGATTATAGGTGTACTACATAAAGAGGAAGTTTGTATTTTCAAAGTTTGGAAAAACAAATTTTTGGATTATGCTAACAATGTGAAATTACATTTTTTGTGGATCCTACTATCCACAAGGTTATTGTTAGCAAGGATACAAATATTATTTTTCTTCAAGGTGAACTTAGAGAAAGGATTGGTGTACTCCAATCAGAAGACTTAAAGAAAAAGGAAACTTGGTTTGCAGGTTGTCCAAAACTCTGTACGGTTTAAACCGAGTGTCCAGATGTTAGTACAAGAGATTTGATTCTTTATTATTAACTTTGATTACAAAAGACTAAGTTCAGATTATTGTACTTATTACAATAGATTTGATGAGAATGATTTATCATTTTGTCATTGCATGTGGATGACATGTTGGTGATAGACCCCAACAAAGTTCAAATCCAGGTTGTGAAGGCACATTTGGCTAGGAAGTTTGATATGAAGAACTAAGGACTAACAAACAAGATTTTAGGAATGCAAATTCACTGAGACAGAAATGATAGGCATGTTTGACTTTATTAGAAAATTATTTACTGAAGGTGTTACAGTGCTTCAACATGCAAGGATGTAAGCTAATTTCTATTCTATTTTCTATCAAGTTATCCTCAAGTATGAGTCCTAGCAATGAAACAGAGAGGATGAAAATCTCTCGAGTATTGTATGCATTGACGGTGAGAAGTCTTATGAATATCATGATCAGTGCAAG